ATACAGGTAAATTGTAATTGCATTATATTCCTGCTTAAATTGGTAAATTGAATACCAAAGTTAAATCTTTTGATTGAAAGCACTGGCAATTTATTTTGATTTTTTTACAAAGCCATATTTGTATTGTAATGAGAGCATTGACATGTAATAATGATATAACAGAACATTCGATCTGGCTTTAGTGACTACCCCACTCAATATGGTATACTATAGGGAAAATGTTAAATAACCTACACCCTAAGAGGAGTATCAAACATGCGAGCCATACTGCTCCAGTCATACCTTGTATTGGACATGAATTAACTGGCCTGTTTGTGTTAAGGATATCACTTATAAGTCAATAATACGCCAGATGACACAAATACCATAAAGAGAAAAGGCTGCAGCTTCATTGAATAAATATGCATCAATGTTTACCCAAAGAACAATGCGAAGAAATAATTTTGTTAGTTAATTATACGCTGTATTAAGTCAAGCAACGCAAGATACATAAGTTAACCACAATATACAAAACTAAAAAAAGTGGGCGAAGGCGATCATTTCAAATCCATACGTAGCCAACCTACAAATTATCAAGGTCTATATATGTACTTATATAGACCTTGCAAATTATATCCAATTACAGTGCGTCCTTTCGTATCTTTTCGCCTATGCTCCTTCGCCAATCGAATAAGAAACAACGTCCAATACTGTATTTCACGTGTTCATCGGAGGTAATAAATACATAGACGGAAAGAAAAGGCTTCAAGCAAAGTCATGAATCTCAAGGACGAGGAATGGGTGAAAGGAAACAGCCTCATCCATGGTTTTAATGGCCGTCGCATGAAAGCAATTACCATAATGGGTAACGGCGCGCCTTTCTTCCCTGAAAACTCGTCCGTCTCGTCATTGTTTTCAAAGGAAAAAGACATGGCGTAAAAGGAAAAGGGGAAAAGGGACGAGGAAGAGAACTACGTTGAAGGAAGTCGCGGGAATTTTTATTAATCTCGGTGGTGATCGGTTCGGAGTGCGTGCAGCGCCATCTTTCCTGTGGAAACGTGGTGCGAAATTATAATCTGCGAATTCTAAACTGGGGCTGATTTTGATTGATCACGCATAAACACACACACACACTCACACACACACAGACACACATACACACACACACACACACACACACACACACACACACACACACACACACACACACACACACACACACACACACACACACACACACACACCACACACACACACACACACACACACACACACACACACACACACACACACACACACACACACACACATATGTGTGTGTGTGTGTCTATATAAATAAGTTTTGTGTGTGCGAGAAAGGGAGAGTGTGAGTGAGGGGGGAGGGGAGGATTAGGTCATTTATTATATAAATGTGTATATAATTATATTATAATATATATATATATATATATATATATATTTATATATATATATATATATATATATATGTATATTATATATTTTATTTATTTATTTATTTATTTTACTGTAGAAATAGAGATGTATTTGGTATAACAATAGGTCATACATACATACATGTTTATATATATATATATATATATATATATATATATATATATATATATTACATATATTTATGTATATAAATATATATATATATATATATATATATATATATATATATTATATACATATAGATATGTGTACATAGATGTACATGTTTATATATATATATATATATATATATATATATATATATATATATATATATATATATACATATGTGTGTATATATATATATTATATATATATATATATATATATATATATGTGTGTGTGTGTGTGTGTGTGTGTGTGTGTGTGTGTGTGTGTGTGTATACACACACGTGTGTGTGTATGTGTGTGTGTTTGAGCGTATATGTGTGTGTGTGTTGTGTGTGGATTCATGCACGTGTGTATATACAGATGAAGACAAACAGAAGGGGGGGGGGAGGGAAACGGAAGGAAAATATCAGCACACAAAGAAAGTATGGAAACCGCATAGAAAACGGGTGTTGTAATTAGGGAAACAGAAAGTGTCAGGAATACTCAGATCAGCTCATTTACTTGATGGATTTATGAACTGTGCTACTGTTATATGATGGTGAGAACAACAACGATTACTTTAGTATGATCACGGTAATAATGTTTCGGACTATCATATTGTTATTTTTGTCAAGAGCTTTTGCTGTTATTGTTGTTGCTCTTGTTGCTGTTTCTGTTACTGTCATTATCAGTGCTGTCATTATTACTGCTAATAATATCAATACTGTCGTAATATTATCATTCTTGTTGTTATTATTTGCATTATTATCATAATTATTATCATTTATTATTATTATTATTGATATTATATTATTATTGTTATTATTGATATTATCATTATTACATTTTCATTATTATTGTTATCATTACTGTTATCATTATTTATCATCATTATTATTATCATAATTGGAATTATTTTTTATTTTCATTTATTATATTATAATATTATTATTTTATTATTATTATTATTATTATTATTATTATTATTATCTATTATTATTATCAACACCATCAAATGTTATTGCTATTTGTTATCATCATTATCATCATAGTTATTATCATTACTATTAATATTGCTATTATTGTTATTATACTTATTTTCGATCATTATCATCTTTATTAATACTGTTATCATTCTTGACATTATCATCATTAATATTGTTACTGATATCGAAAAATAAGTATATAACAATAATAGTAATATTGATAGTAATGATTAACTATGATGATGATAATAATGATGATAATAGCAATAACATTGATGATGTTGATAATAATAGTAATAATAATAATAATAATAATAATAATAATATAATGAATAATAATAATAATAATAATATATATAATAATAATAATAATAATAATAATAATAATAATATATTTATAATAATAATAATAATAATAATATTAATAAAATAATTTCAATGATGATAATAATAATAATGATAATAACAATAACAGTAATGATAACAGTGATAATAATGAAAATACAATAAAGACAATATCAATAATAATAATAATGATAATAACATATTAATAATAATAATGATAATAATGCAAATAATAATAACAAGACTAATAATATTACGACATTATTACTGTAATTATTATTATTTCTGTTATTAGTATCATCATCATTAATATTTCCATCATTATTGTTATTAATACTATATCATCATGGTTATTATCGGTATTATTGTCATCATCATCGTTATTGTCATTACTATTAGTAAATTTTAATGTTCTTATTTTTGTTATTATCAATACTATTACTATCTCTATTATTATCATTATTACCATTTTTGTTTTTTTAAATTACTGTTAGTATCTTCGTTATTACTATCATTATTATTATTATTATTATCATTGTTATTATTATCATCATTGTTATTATGATTTTTTTTCATTATTATTATTATTATTATTATTATTATTATTATTATTATTATTATTATTATTATTATTATTATTATTCATTGTCATTACTATTATTATTATCATTATCATTTGTTATCACTATGATTTATTATTTTCATTATCATTTATCATTATCAATATCATTTATTATCATTATTATTATTATTATTATCATTATTGTTAATGTCATTGAATTATTATTATTATTGTCAATGTTATTCATGTTACCTTTATTACCATTATTGTTAATTAATTATTATTAATATTGTTATTATTATCATTGCTGTTATTATTACTTTTATCATCATTAATGTTATTATCATTATTATTGTTATTATTACCATTATTATTATTCATCGTTATTATTGCTATTATTATTATTGTTGTTATTATTTTATCATTATCAATGTCATTATCGTTATTATTGCTATTATTATTATTGTTGTTATTATTTTATCATTATCAATGTCATTATCGTTATTATTGTTATCATCATCATTGTTATTATTATTGTTATTATAATCATAATAATTATTATTATTTTCATTATCATTATTATTGTTGTTGTTGTTACAATCCTTATCAATTTAATTAATATTATTATTGATATTGATATAACCATCATTATTATTATTATTGTTGTTGTCATTATTATTTTCATGAGGATGCTGGTGATGATTGTTAGTTTTGCTATTGTTGTTATCTCTTTTCCTTATTATTATCGTTATTTTATCATCAGTAACTTCATTATTATTATTATTATTATTATTATTATTATTATCATTATCATTTCTATATTCTTATTGTTGTTGCTGTTGTTATTATCTTTATTGTTATTATCTTTATTATCAGTATTAGTATCATTATTATTATTGTTATTATGTTTGTGATTGTTGGTATTATAATTGTCATTGTTATTGTTATCTTTACTACTACTAGTAGTAGTAATAGTTGTAGTAGCAATAGTAGTAGTAGTAGTAGTAGTAGTAGTAGTAGTAGTAGTAGTAGGAGTATTATAATTTTTCATATTGCCATCATTAATATTATTACGATTGTTATCATGTCTATCACAGTAAGAGTGTGTTTTTTTTGCCGTGGTCAACAGCGCTTACTGTTGCAATCGGTATTAATTCCAGTTTATTGCCTGATTAATGTCATCAATTTTAAATCTAACGTTAGAGAGTAATTGACTCATATCCAACCTGCAATCTTTATTCTAGTGCAGACTTTACTTACGTAGCTTTTATTTATTATGTTTTGAAATACTATCGAAATGAAGTGTCTTTTCGGTTAGTAGAAGTATAATACCAACAAAAGATAACCATAAACGACATCGCAATAATAGTGCGAATAAGGAGGAAGCCACTTCCTCGTATTCTTCCAACAAAAATAAATTAAAGAGCAAACTAGATTGTCGGTCATAAATTTAAACCAATTTCACTCGATAAACAATCAGTAAATCATGCATGAAAAATTAAGTAAAGGAAAGAAAAATATCCATAATGATCCGAGACATAGGTGAAGCAGCTGATGTTTCTGCACAAAGTCTCGTTTGGGAAGTTCCGAAACGTGGCTTTTATTCGCACTTTCCTCGTCGAACTCCCGTTGGTGCCGCACAAAGAACTTCCTGCAATAATGAAAGGTCAGCCTTATTCGCAAAATATTAGCTTAAAACCTAACTGTTCTGGGTAAACAAAATTACCCTGGTTTCATTATCGCAAGAGGATAGATGTTGTGTTACCTATATCAATTTATAATCGGTAATTTGCTGTTGTTGGGAGTGAAAACACAAGCACACGAAAACACCTGTCACCTGCTTGGGTTATTGACCTGCGTGGGGTTTGTAGGCCGATGCAGTGTTGGAGGCAAAGTTCCGTGGTAGGTACATGCATTACGGCTAATTACTGTGTGAAAGCTGGTCTGAGGCGTATTGATTTTGCTTTTATTTTGGAGAGAACAACGTTGGGTATTTTCCACAATGTTCCGTCGATCCTGACCCAAATTTGAAAGTTGTCATAAATCTGGAAAAACTTATTGGTGTATGCGTTTATGTATAATCAAACGTGTTGATTTAATTTCTCAGAAGTTTGACAAAGAAGAGATTTAGGGAAAACAAGTATTCCAAACAACAAATAAATAAAAAAGAATTATGCCGGTAATAGCAGTCTATGAATAACTCCTAATTAAATGTTTTTTTTTCCTGTTTCATGTCTTCGTGTTTGTAGGACATGTTTATTTTTTTCCACATTTCAAGAATCCCTTATGGTATGTAGAAATTAGGCTTTAGAATGGGATGACAATCCATTTCTTATTGTCTTTTCAGTATGTTCTGCATTTGTTACTTAATGTTGCCAACTTATATTTCATATGGAGTAGAAAATTTGAATAATTTGGGTATATAGATATAAATAGTGAGAGATAGGAAATAAATGTCATAGGAGCTTTCCAGTTGATCATAGAATAACCTAACTAGAAGATTGTGTAGTTATCTTAAACATATAGTTCCTATTCTCCACATTTATGATAATAATCAAGAATAGGACTGCATCAAATTATGATTTCAGCTCAGTCAAATCTATTGTATTGCTGTCACATATATTCTAGCAAGATAGAGCTTGGGCTGGTTCCTTATTTCACGAGAAGTTACCAAAGACATTTTTCTTGCAAAGGCCTGGCTGGTGGAGGTTTCTTGACCATCATGAAGGCATGGATACCATGGCATCACATGCATAAATGTGCAGATTTTGATAAGCCAGTATGGGCATAGTCCTCTTACATTGCGCAGATAACTTGTAATAAGATGTATATGTGTATCACCATTAGATTCTTTTTTTACATAGTCCTATTCAGGATAGTTAGGTCACCCTTACTGATTAACCTACATTTAATTTTCAAAACAGCATATTTTAGTGTTTTTGTTTTTGTCAATGAGATACCAGTCTACCAATGTCCTGGCATATATTGCTGTTTAGATTTCATGCTGAACAAATTGCAAATAGAGCAATGAAAGGAAATCAAGTAAACACAAATATAGGCACATTTGTGTGTCTTGTTCTTTCCTATATTGTATTATACGGGTAGATTGCTGTGATCTTGGCACCAGTTGGCACTCTTGGAAAGCCTAACTAACTGTCACAATATATTATCATGAAGCAGCTTAGACTTGAGATTATTAGCCAACTATCACAGTTCATAGCAGGTTTCAAGTAGGATTAGAGAGATGAAGTCAATATAATTACACGCAAAAGGTTTTGAAAGCCATTGCAAGTGGCCTTTAAACATTAAACCTCATTCTCTCCTAGTTACATTGGTTGTGTTCTATCAAGATCCTTTTGAATATTTATATGATCAGTGAGAAAATGCCTTCAAGATAATTCCAATCAGATAATTAACATTGCAAGAAAGATATATGAAAGATTTTGAAAATAAAGACTTTGGGCTCGTTTGATTTTTTTTGAGGGGGGATGCCTTGCAAGCTCTGTCATACCAAAATGTGTTAAAAGTTGTCAGCCATTGCTAGAGTACTGATAGGCACAGAAGTTATACACAGACCAGTGGAGGATGCACAGATGTGTTTGCCATATTTATCATATATATATATATATAATATATATATATATATATATATATATATATATATATATATATATATATATATATATATATATATATGATTTATTATTTCCTGTTCTCTTGTTTATGTAAATAATTTTCAAAATTAACTGTAGTATCTTTTACAGCGACAGTAATCCCTTGAATATGATTGAAACTTGCACCTTGATCCTTCCCCTTCCCCCAGAAACCAATCACTACCAATATGCATGTTATGCGCTCATTCGGCACCCTGCGCATTATTATTGAGATTGAGATTGAAGCTCAAATATAATACCCGGTTTGTTAAAATTGTGCCAGGCCTGACCGAATGAATTTTCTTAATACAGATGCAGAAATAAAGGCATATCTTTCTCTATATCTTATAGATATACCCATAACCATCTATTTGCCGGGTTGATATGCATGTCTAGACTGATGAATATGCATTTATTTCTTCATTTATGCATGTCAAGTATACAAATATTCTTTGTGTCAGGCCTCGCACAATTCTAACAAATCTGCCGTAAATGTCCCAACATATCTCAGTACTGTCTTTATTTTATTATTCATTTAACAATGTAATCATCGTTTACTTCAAATTTTAATCAGGCATTATTTCTCTACAGATCAATCAGTAATGCGGGAAAACACAGTTGCCTCTGAAATTCGCAAGTTTAACTTGCTACAGGAGCAGCGAGTTCATACATATAGACTTTTTGAAGAGTAAGTCAGGGCTGAGAGGACAGATGAACTCTCATATTTGTATGTCTTTTTAAGGCAAAGTACTTTGTTAATGGTTTATACAGTGTGCAGGTGCTTATCTTTATACTTTTGTTTATATATTATTATTTTAGTGAAATTATAGATGGACTATTGGAACGGAATCTATATTTAATATATACTTTACAAATGTTTGAAATATAAGGAGTTAACTTTGTTAATGATTTATACAGTCTGCATGTGCATGTATTTATACTTTTGTTTTTATTTTATTATTTTAGTGAAATTATAGATGACTATTGGAATGGAACTTATAATTAGAATAGACTTTACAAATGTTTGAAATATTGGCAGTCAATTTTATCTGAATGCTAGTGTGATTTTAATGGCATGTGGGCCTTTCTATCAAAAAAGGTATCTGCAGGTTGTAGTTGCATATAGAAGTTCTTGATTGATGAAGACTGGATTATAGGTTTATCAAAATCCTGAAAGTTGATCAGTCTGATACGAAAGCACTAATACATTTCACTTTTGCAGGGGGCACAAGATATATTTGAGTACGAGCCCAAACTACGACTTCCCCACTTTTCGGCAGCTGGTTCATGATATCACACAAGAATTCAAGAGAATATCAGCAGATATCATAGCTATTGAGAAGAACCTTAGATCTAGTGGTAATGCTGCTGTTGCAGATACAATTCTAGCAATTCAAGAATGTGAAAAGAAGAAGTTAGAGTTGGTAAGTCAGTGTATCAAGAGAGAGAGACAATATTTTCATCTTTAGAAGTATCAAATTTGAGTATCTGCAAATAGTATTCAATTATTTAGTTGTTTAGATATAGTGTAGTATATTTATGAAAGAACATACAGCTCTGTAAGTATGATGTTCAGATGTAATTATTTTGAAGTTGTTAGCAATAAATGAAGAAGGGAAACTAGGTCATAACGCTTTGAAAATTAGGTCATATTTTCAGCAACTTTTACCCTTTTACAGACCGCACACCTGCAGCTTGCACGACAGATGGTTACAGAGTGCAGTGAAGGTGAACTAGAAAAGATGAAAGAAAAGGAAATTAGAGCCGAGCTGGGACATGTTGTAGAAGAAATAAATGACCATTTAACTGAGCTACGATATGAAGTTTACAACGGGGAATAATGATGTGTACTTCTAGATTTTCTGTTTGAGTGCCATACTATAAGTAGGTTTTATCTAGCTTAAAGCTCAAGATGGATTATATAGAAGTGAAATACATCTTCAGTAGTGGGAATAGTAGCTTGCATCAGCCAGAATCATTATAAATATTAATGCAAGGTTTAAAAGCAGATGGGAATTATTTTGGTGAGCCTGCAAGCTTATGGTGGAAGATAGAATGGAAAGTAAAAGAGAATATTAATGGGTTAAGCAAAGTTTAATAAAATAATAGATCTGATTGCACAGAACTGCAGTGAATAAGTCTATTCTTATAATCAAAATTGTAAATGAAGTCAATTGAAAGTATCATTTTGAAAGTACTGCAGTTTATAGATAGAAATCTGTAATAACATGTATTTTTTTCCTGTATTAGATATTTATGTATATTTTATGATTATTGTAATTTTTCTAGAGAATTCCAGTTTATTTACAGTGAATCTCGTGATACACCAATAAATATTATAATTAGTCAATAAATATTATAATTAGTTGTTACAAATTGAGATCATAAAAGTGCCTTTTATACTGAAATTATCAAATCCAAGTGCCAAGGTGAACAAATTGAGGAGGAATATAACCTATTTCATACAGAATATTATTTTTTTTAGCCATTATTATATTTTTTTTTATCATTTTTCTTTGTGACAAATTATTTTCGTTTGGGGTAAGTCATTGCCCTGGTTTGTTCTGTTTTTCTAAAGTATTTAGTTTTTGCTTGTTCAGAGATATTTCTGGTATATCCATTGTCAACAGTTTATTAATCTACTATGATAGGTTGTGAGCTTCAGTTGTTTTAATGTTAGTTGACAAGATTTCAGACATGTTGATGTATGTTGAGTTTTCGTTTCAGATGTGAAAGTTCCATGTAAACAAAAATGAACAACATTCATTAGCTATTTTTTCTACCAATAAAAAGTTTAAAGCATGCAGCAGTTTTTTTCTTGAAAAAATGTGAAATAAAAATAAATTTTATGTTCCTTATTAATTAACATAACATTGCTTTTGCAAAAAAGGAAATGAAGATAAATGTGTTTGAAACCGAATAATTCTTTGAAGAAATACCATATATGATCCAAGTACTGTAATTATTGAAATGAGAATGGATGCTATCAAGTCTGAAATTACTCTGGCTAATTTTATTAAGGAGAAGTATTACAGAAGAAATATATCATTTGTATATAGAATACATACTTTTTTTGTTTTATAAGTTTTGTATATTTAAATGGCCCTCCCAAAACCTAGCTCATTGTCATCATGGGAGGGCTTAGGAGACGGGGACTGAGACCCAATGTAGAGGATTACCCCTACCTTGGCCCTTGCCTCAACTAATTTTGCTTGGTCCTTTCTTCTCTTTTTTCCTCTTCCGTATCTTCTTTACTCCCTTCTTCTATCCCATTCCTAAGGTGTGAGAGCTGTGCTGAACGGATGAAAGGCTGGCTTTGTGTCAGTCACGAATGGCCTCCATGAGCCATCGGCATGGTATTCCCTTAGTTAATTACTTAGCCCTTATCCCTTATGGGGACCCTAAGGGGTAAACTGTTTCTTTTCCCCAGTTTATTCAGGCTCACCATGGCCAGTAATGAAGATTCTTTACCCTTAAGAGAGGCATTAAGGCTTGCCCCTTCATCAAATAGTCAATCTGAATTTGATTTTGATGGTTTTCCAACCCCTGCCCCTCCTTTGACCACGGCTGTGACCACTGATGCTAATACCCCCTCTTTGACGCTTACGAACAACTCTAACCATTCTGAAACACCCACCCAGGTTATTACTTAACCCCTAGAAAACACTTCTTCCTCATCCCCAACATTCTTTTCATCTGCACAACCCTCTTCAATGTCAACCCCCTCTTCCCTCATTACTACTCTTCATCCTTATTGTCTTCCCCAACGCAGAACTCCACTCCACTCCACACCAAACCATCTTCCTCTCGCCCTCGTCCTTCTACTACCTCTACCTCTGCAAACCTTCTGAGTATTTTATTTGGCACAGCCAAGTGAGATCGATTCTTTGTGATTCCCCCCACAGCCCCCTATTCTGAGAATACCCTTCTCTTTCTGCAGTGCCTCCAGAAACAAGTAGGCAAGGTTACCTTTCGCAGTCACTCTGATTGTTCATGCCCTGTCACGGTTACATCTGAAGTCCAAGCTCGTGCACTATCTACCCTAACTGACCTTACTGGCAAACTTATACCTGCCAAACCTCACCCAACTCTTAATATTTGTATTGGAACTGTTTCTATTCCCCCAAATGCTTGTCCCTTGTATAAAAAGGACTGGTCAGACTGTGAAAATGAGCTTCTTTCCTGCCTTGGTGAATATGATACAGTGGCAGTACAGTGTTACACTCTTCCTCCAAGAGGCCAACGTAAATCCCACGTCACTATTGCCAAGATGAGCTTCCATAGACAAGACCTCCCCCATGACGTTTATATTGGTGGATTGTCTTAGCATGTCTGACAATATCAACCCCTTCCTCGTCAATATCAAAAATGTTGGCGTTTTGGCCACCTAGCCAAACATTGTCGCTCCACAGCCTGCTGCCCTCTATGTGCCCAACCTGGTCATGACCGTTTAAATTGCCCTGGTCAGTCACATACATGTGCTAATTGTGGAGACTCCCACAATGTATTTTATAGGAGCTGCCCTGCCTATAAGTTTGAATGTGAGGTAGCAGTCCTCAGATTTAAACTAGGCCTCATTCTATGTGAGGCTAGACAGGAAGCATGATGACTAGGTTTTTCTCTCTCAACTTATTCCAAAACAGTCCTATGCTCTGCTCCCCCACCATCTACACAAGATATTTCTGCATCTCCCTGGGTATTTTTTCCCTATACACAAAACCTAACTCCTATGGCTACTCACCCTGTCCACCATTCAAATCCATTTTCCATCCTAAATCCTGATACTCCAATCTCTAACACTTCCTGGATACCTAGCCCTCCTCACTTTAGTTGATGTACCAGACAACCCAAACGTTCCATTCCACGCTCTCCTACTATATTCTCTCCTACACCTTCCTCTTCATTTGTTCCTCAGATATCCATCTCCTCTTCTCCTCCTTATAAGAGAACCTTTATTTCTCAGTCCTCTATACAAATTCCCCTCCAGAAACCCTGGAAGACCCAAAACGTCCTAAAGATGACCCAAGGGAACACTCCGCTCCCTCATCCACCTCCCATTCCCTCTGTTCCTACTCCTGCTATACTTAAAGTATTTGCAGATATTCATCCTCCTCCTTCCCAAGTTCCCTCCATCCCCCTTCCTCCTACACCCTCTCAACATACCCCACCCTCTCTACCAGTGCTACTTGGAATACTCACACGAATCCTCTCTATCACAACAGTGTCCTTCTCCAGACCCCTCCTTTCCAGACATTCTTCCTGATACTTCACCACCTTCTCCAGTCTCCCTTTCTCAGCCTCTGGATTCCTATTCTCCTACTTCTCCAACAGCCACCTCTTTTTTCGTTGATCAATGTCCCTACTCCTTCCCCAGTCACAGATACACTGCAATTCACTCAGTTGCTCTACCCCCTTATATTCCCCCAACCCCTTCCCAAAATACCTCAACTACCCAAACCACCCATAACACCCAAACCAAAACCCCCCTCAAAACCCCATCCTTCCCCACTATCCCTCCCACTCCCTCCTGGATACGCACGTGAATCTCTTTTATCACAATACACTTCCCCAGACCCCACCATCCCTATCGAAACCCCAGACGCTACTCCTTCACCTACTCCTGATCCTTTATCTCAACCCTCAGATACCTAATCCCCTACTACTAAGACAACCATATCTAATGTTATCACCTATTCTCCCTATTCCTTCCTCAGGCACAGATACAATGCAATTCATTTAATTGCTCTACCTTCTTAACCTTTCCCACTTATTAATCACTGCTCTATTTCATTTACTTCCCTCCTTTCCCTTTTCACTACCATACTCTCCTACAATACCTTCTAATCTTTGATATCCAACACTCTCCACTCTCCCCGGATTTACCCTCCACTCTCCCCGGATTCTTTTCTTACTCTTCAACAGCTGTCTCTATTCTTCCCTGAACATACTACCCCAGTGACAGATACACTGCAATTCACTCAATCACCCTACCCTCCCCTTTGTACTAATTTCTGCTCTAATTCACTTACTCCCCTATTCCCCCTTTTCACTACCCTACTATCCTATAATGCTTTTAAACCTTTGACATCTAACACATTTTATCGTAATCTTTAACTCTCCTTTGCCCTTTCCGACGCAATACTTTACCATAGTGCTACATGACCTTTCATTTCTAGCACATTTTTTTTCAAACATTAAACATTACTTGAATGGCTTCAGAAACACTTGGTCACCTCCCAATACCTTGCTTGTTGTCAGGGGGGGGGGCTTAGGAGATAGAGGCTGGAGCCCAATGAAGGAATTGCCCTTACCTTGGACTTCAGCCTTAGCCTCGACTAATTTTGCTTAGTATTTTCTTCTTTCCTCTTCAGTATCTTCTTTATCCTCTTTTTCTGTCCCAGTCATGTGTGAAAGCTGTGCTGAAAGGATGAAAGGCTGACTTTGTTGGTCATGAACGGTCTCCAGGACCAATGGGGACCCTAAGGGGTAAACCGTTTCTTTTCCCCAAGTTATTCAGGCTCACCATGGCTAATAATGAAGATT